GCCTACATGACTGGAACCAAACCACGTAAGCTTCCTTCATGCATGTCTGCTCCTACTGCCGCTTGCTCTGAGTCTAGTTGATACTGGTGGGGATGAGCCTTGACATGCTAGGAGAGAGTTTTTCAAAACTGGATCATACGCGTCTTCGGGCTCACAGCTCCTTGTGGCTCCCGTGTTTCTCAAGCGTGGTGTCCGACGGGCCGTCCTCAACAAGGTTAGTGCTCGGCTGTGGGTAGCCTGAATAGCACTTCAAGCCGGTCCTTGCGACGCACGCGCCGGACTTCGAGACGGCGCCGTCCATTGCCACCCTCGCCGGATTGGCCGAGCATGTATTCGATCTCGTGCTCCGACAAACGGAAGCTCTTCTGGTCGGCAGCGGCTTTCATGTGAAAGGACTGCCGCAACGCCTCTCCGACGAGGGCTTCCAAAGATCGCACTTTGGCTCCCGGTGCACCCAAAAACCATAGAAACAGCACTGCTGCGAGGCCCAAAGGCTGCTTCATTGCGAAGGACAGCTACACGCCGCCAAGACGTCGCTGCAATGGCCAAGCTGATTTGTAAGCGCGGGCCAAGGCTTAGGCCAATTTACAAGGGCATGCTCAGGGATATAGAACAAAGTGCTATAGGCGTCTTAGAAAGGTTTCACCACTTCTTCCAACGGCCATAGTAACTAGGCGCGTCCAGCTCTTCTGTGGTCGTTGCTTCCGGTGCTTCCATGGTTGTGGTGGGCGGCTGGGTGATAGGCCCCACCTTCACCATGTCTCCATAGAAAGTCAATGCAAGAGGACCAATCAAGCGCCGCGTGCCTTGGTAGCGCGCTTTGAAGTCCCGGGACATGAAGCGCTTGGCGATTGCTTCCACCTCCTTGACAACCTTCTGGTCCTCAGCGACGTCCTTAAAGATGAGCTTGCCCGCGCTGCCGCCATCCGGAACAGGCGACTGCAGCTGTCCCCGGAACCTTGCCGTTCACCTATAGGGTCACGTGATCCGCATTCTCTTGCAAATCACCACTCTTGCGGGAGACTGGGACGGAAGACTTAGAGGCCTCCAGCTGTGCTGCCTCCTTGCCAGTCATGGTTTCCCGAAGCCGTTTCTCCAGAGCCGCATGGCCCGTGACTTCGTGGATAAGCTTGAGTAATCCCACGGGCTCCAGCACTTCCACAGCGCTGGAGATCTGTTCCTCCGGCTCTTTCGAACTCAGCTCCGACTTGAGGCGTTCTGCGAGCCGGCCCACTCCTCTGCACCTCGACGTCTGTGATCACAGCCGGTCATTCAGCATCGGAGAGGAAGTTGTCGATGACCTTGAGGGAAGACACGCTCGTCACGTCCGGACTCGCAAGGGTCTGTGCGAGCAGAAGCTGCGCCAAGAGCCAGGATGCAGCCATGTGTGAAGCCAATGCGAGGATTCCGAATAAAGCTTCTCAATGTCGGTCCAGCCGCAATGGCTTTGACTGCCAGTCTTGAGAACCATGTCAACAACCTCCAGACCTCTAAGCCTCATTCCTTAGATATTGGAACCCTGTACAGCTTAAGCCCTAAACGCGAAACCCGATGCACGCTTTACTCCCCCCAAAAACTCGCCTTGCTTCGTGCGCGTGAGTGTCCAGTGAGTGTCCCCAAGACCCTGCCGAGTTCCAATGCAGATGGCTGCCCGAACCCCCAATGGCCCAAACTCATAAATAGCAAAACGCACAAACACCGAACGTAGCTGACAGTCCTCGAGGCTCACGGTTCCGGAATCGTTCGTGTCCAGAACCTTGGCTCAGCATGCACCGAGAACCTGTGGGGTGAGGGTTGAGAGCATACAGGTGCAGGGTTTCTTGGGGTTGAGGTGCTTCTTTGTGCTTTTCCTTACAGCCTTTTAGCCGATGAGGCCTTCGTTTCTCAAGCACGTACTTCTTTGAGATCCCGACCAGAACTTAAGCAGTCGTTCGATGCCAAAGCATGGGTGAGGTGAGACTGCGTGCTCGGGCTTCACTCAGCTTTTTGTTGAGAGATGTGTTGCCTGCAGTGAAGTACCTTCTCACGCCGGGTTTAGGGTCCAGAGGTTCGGGTTTGGAGTTTAGGTGTTTAGGAAACATAGCACCAATTAAGCTGCCACCAAAGCACGTAGAAGATGTCTCGGGCCTGAAGCACGAGCGCTTGCGAAAGAAAGGAAACAAACAGGGCATCCTGTGTGACTCCGCGTCGAACCAATCGGGTGCCTCCACAAGTCCTAAAAAATCTCACTCTACTGCCATAGTCGAAAAACGCGAGCCCAAAAGCCAAAATGCGAAAAGCATAGACACGAGAAAGAATCATGGGCCCCGCCTGACTGCTGTCCATGTCGAAGGCTTTGAGGTATGTCTGGGCCCGGGTATTGGCTCTGCAATTTGCTGTTGCGGCTCTTGGGGTAAAGGTACAGCTGCCAGGGATCTGCGTGGAATGGGTAAGCAGTTTTTCGGCCGGGGAATCTTACACGCTGCGACTACACCGACTGTTGAAGCCCCTCCTCCTACAGACAATGACCACGACCACGATGAAAGACCACGCCCGCGACCAAAAGACTACAACTAGGCCCAATACCCACGATCACGCCCGGCTACCAGCTGCTACTTCTGCCACGACCACGACCAACTACTGCTACTACTACTAGTACTACGACGACTACGACTACGACTACGACTACGACTACGACTACGACTACGACTACGACTACGACTACTACTCCTCCTGCTGCTACTACTACTACTACTGCTACTACTACTACTACTACTACTACTACTACTACTACTACTACTACTACTACTACTACTACCACTGCCGGCGCAGCGCGCGCTGGTGATTTCTGCGGCAAAACATCCGTGTTTGCCTCCAGAAACTGTGTATGTTGTGTTTATAAGTATGGTCCATCGCCAACCCACGATCCTCCTCCCAGCAGGCTGAAGGTCAGACCCTTCGTATCTGATTCGTCGCCAGAACAACTCGAATCCAACGAAACCTGCCGGCGCAAACCCACCGAGCGTTCAACAATGCAGTGATGCAGGTCACATGCAGATTATCTGCCAAGCGTCGATCATCTCTTGTGAGGAGAGGTTAGCCTCAAACTCTTCCCAGGTGATCTGTCAGGGCTGGAGGAAGGCTCTGAAGTGATGCCCAAGGTGGGGTCAGATTGCGGGCCGAGGGAAGTACGATGTTAGCATCGCCATGCGCTGCAGAGAACATTAGAGTGTCTTCGCTATGAATTGAAGCCAACAGACACTAGGCGACTGCCCAAACGAGGATGTAGTTTGGCTGACCAACATATGTTGGCTTGCACCATTGACAGAGATGCCTACATGGTGTTTGAACTCAGACACAGCGCAAAGACCTGAAACAAGATGAAAAGTCTTGATCCTGGTCGCTTCCTTGTATCTCAAACCACGAACTCTTCGCATTATAGGCGCAACCCCATGCAGTAAAACCCTGAGCCCCAAGACATCCCAAATTTTTCTTGCCACAAACCCCAACCCTGCCTCCCCTAAACACCGTTCCGCCTGGGCTCTCATCCTTAACTCCTAGCCCTGGATACACCCTAACGTAGGAATATTAATAATCAGAATAGGGTTTTGGGGTATATTATACCATAAGCATAGTAAACAACCCCAAAATAGAATTAGTAACGAGTTAGACCCCCACCCTACAATCCGGCGGCCTCCCCATCGCCACTGGTGTCCGCGAGAACACCTCCAGTCGACCGCTGAGGGCAAAGTCTTTTTAGTTTAATATAGGGCTTTGGAGTCCATTAGTGTTGTAGGGTTTACTGAAGGAACTCTAGGGGTTCAGGATTTAGTAAAGTAGGCTTCAGAGTCTATAGTTCGCTTGAGCTCATTTCTGGGCCCTGTGGATCTTCGAGGTCGAGACTTCGCAAAGACATCCCCAGGTCGGGGCCTGAAGGGCCCTTGCACAGAATTGCCATGAGTTACGAAGAAGTGAGGTGTGTTCTTGGAGCGGGGGAGATTTCGCTTCCGTGGAACTCCTATTGCACTTACCCAGACTTGACGGTCAAAGCGAGACTGAGGCTTCTTCAGCCATGGCACAGAGCTTCTGCACACTTTTGATGAGCTCCTGTACCGGCACAATCAGTGAACGATGAAGCTCAAAATGCCCGGGATTTTGCAGTGCTGCTGTTCATACATCTCGAAAATGAGCCACTTCGCAGCCCATAGAAACCCGGACTGAAAACCATCGAGAGAAGAAGAAAGTCGTGAGAACATTTTTTTCACATACACATTGACGAGAACGGCAATCATGACCGGCTGCATAGGCATACCGAAACACAGGCGAACTGCATGATTATGATATCCGGTACAGTGCTACACATCTGCAGTGCAATGATAACACAAAAGAGACAACACCAAATGAAAGTAGGCAAAACAGTAATCACGGTGTCTCCAATCGTCGTCATCGGTGACACAATTGCATTGGCAGTAAGTGTAACCGACTGTGGCACAAGATAGGCAGCTAACTAACACAGCATCCCATCCAGGATAGGTGCGTACTCTCGTCGTTGAATCTCGCACGCCTCCTCCAATAAGCCGAGAAATTGCCCAAGTTTGATGAAGGAAAGGAATATATAATAAGATATCAACGGTTTCGTGCGGGCTCTTGGCTCAAGCTTTGCTCTTTGAGCCGACGCTTCCTGTAACAGGAAACGGCCATGGATTTGAGTCTTCGGTTCGCGGTCTATAACAATCATGGAAAATGAGCAGGTCGAAAAGCAGAAGAAGTTGCACAAGAAGAGAACGGCTCGAGTCTCCTGCTCCTTCTCCTCCTTGGCAATGCGCTGAGCTCCTTGGGCTAAACGGAAACACTCTCGGCCACGAGTTGGTTCCTAGTTGAAGTCTCGACAGACCTTTGGGGAACGGCACATGGCAGTAATACAGTGGCCTGAACACGATTACTAGGGTCCTGACAGACTCGGGAACTCGAAGCCAAGGAAGACTATAATTCGCTCTTCAGGGCCCCAATGTTATGTGGCTTTACCACAATCCAAAAGTGAGGAGCATGCGCTTCGAGCGACCTTCTACGAACACGCCCGTGACCAAGTTCAGCATAACCAGTGTTGCGAAGGCGATGTACAGGGAGAAAACAACCTCAGGCGCAGGCCGCAGAAACCGCTTGACAAGTAACAACTCCAGCGACCCCAGTGAATCCTGCGACGTCCTCAACTTCACAGTATCTGCAGAAAAACCCTTGGGCTGATTCACATTCCCAACTTCTTGGGGCGGGATGCGCGTTGCCTGCCTCAGCACATGTGGCTTGCGGGGGGTAGATTGAGGACCACCACCACCTCCACCACCACGACTATTAGCTAGCACAACAGAAACGCGGACGACAATCGAACCGATCTGTGCTCTCCCCCAAATTTGCCTAGGCCTTTTCTGGCCCAAAGCCGGGGAGCCAGGAGCATGTCGTGGGACTCGGGGAGCGCCGTTTCGAAGACCTCCACGAAGACGCGCCAGTCCTGGGCTCTCCGAAGATCTCTCTCTCTCTCTCTCTCTCTCTCTCTCTCTCTCTCTCTCTCTCTCTACATATATATATATATATACGCATATATACACATACATACATACATACGTACATACATACTACATATATTAAAATATATACATATATTGGTGGATACTGGGCGGGCCACAGGCCGCCCGGCATTTTCTTACGCGCCAGATCTGCGCTTGGTTTCGTATAGGCATGCCCGGCCCGTGCCACAGAAAACTTCGCAACACCCTATCCTTCCAAGGACCTCATAGTGAGGGCCCTAGACTCCTTAAGGACCCAATAATAAGGTCCCTGGAGGCACAGGGACAGCTGTCGGAGCAACAAAGCAGCAAAAGAAGAGACATCACTAATGGAGCTATGCCAACGACTCAGACTCTGATGGTTGCAAGCCCAAGCGGCCATTCCTCCAGTAATGGCCTGGCAAATTGAGGCATGAGCAGCAACTTGTGGAGAAACGAATCAGTACGATGTTTCTGTGTCGCCACACTTTGTTTCCCCCAGTTCATGGAGTGATGGGCTTTAGGTTTTTTGAGGAACCCCGCAACCCATTGCTTATGGCAACCCTTCATCATGCAAAAGAGAATTCAAAGCAGATTGCGACTGCGATGAGGGGGCCTCACTCGGAGCCTTAATTTAATCAGCAATTGCAAGTTTCCTTCTCTGATCTACGTTTCCTGTCAGATGTTTCTGTATGACTTCATACTGGCTAGATGCATATATGTGCCATATGCAGATGGGTCTGTGGATTCACAGGTTCACATCACTACGATGTATGTGGTATGCCATTAAAACCCTCGCCCATGTTTTCCCATTGATTGGGCTGGTCTCTTGCTTGTGACCTGAAGAGACGCCTGGGCCACGATATCATTTGCGGTACATGTAGCCAAAATCGGTGAACTCTGCTGAACTTGGGGAGCCCTTCAGAATCGGTGAGCCACCCGCAAGCGCGCTGAAATACCTCTTGCTTGAAACCCCTTCTGCTCATGATAATCTCGCACAGTTGTTGCAAAGCTCCCCTGCACCCTGCCTGGAAGAGAGAGGCCACTGCCTCACCGTGGGGACATGATGTGGATCTACATGTGTCGCTTTCGTGTGGGGCCCTTCTGACCCCACCCAAAACCGTTGTTACTAGCATTAACCGTCTGCTGCCAACACCGTCCGACGCCAGCTGAGTGGGCTTCTGCCAAGCCACACCAGCCACCCAGCCAAAAAACAAGTCAGGCCAAAACTCTGGATTGTGGATAGTTGTCGTCAAGTTTGGGGCGTCCTCAAACAATTCAGGCTGCCGGATCTGACAAGCAAGACGGGGGCCTACATGATGTTCGGAGGTAAGCTGTACTGCAATGGCTGGCACTTTCGGGATCGCATCACACTCTCTCACACTCTCTTGCTACTCTTGGGTAATATGTCTACTTGTAGCTTTCTTTCTCAAGCCCTACAACCACAAGCCAAAGGTGCTCTAATCGAAAACTTCCCTTTCGTTCGCTTCAAGAGGAACCCAAAGCTCCCCTCCGGCCTTGTTGAGAGCAACCCTGCAGGCTCAAACTCTGCACCAGCGCGTCAAACGTTTAGTATGAGGCCCTTAATGATGAGACTAAGGTTTTGGGGGATCATATACTACAAGTATTCATGATAATAGGAGCCCCCAACATGGTAAGGCCCTTATATGGGCCAGAAGGCGCCTGCCCCAGGGAGCCCCAGTATCGGCGCACTTCCGTAAGGTCCTGCGAAGGCGGCTCCCGTGTCGGAAGCTCAAGTTCAAGCAACATGGCGAGGGCGGGTTTGGGTTTAGGGGTTTAGGGGTTGAGGGGTTTAGGGTTTAGGAGAACAGCAAGAAAAGGCTTAAATGTACTGCAAGAAGTGGCGATGGGCGGGGCTTTAGGTGATGCTTGCGGTGCAGGCTCATGGCTGCCAAAGGGTGCTTAGTTGGTTCGGCAGGTGGAGACGCCGAGGCAAGTGCGATTCCAAGATGCCTAGGATTTAAGAAAATGACGAAGCACCACTGGAATACATGAACGGTCCACGGACATTGATACATAGCTGGAGACAGAGGCTTCAAAGGCTAGATCATCTGGAGATGACGTGTTTCATGCCAATCCCTTGGCATCTCCAAGCAAGCGTCTTACTCCTCACTCCAGAGTACTCGAGTATGGAAGCTACTACTACTACTACTACTACTGCTACTACTACTACTACTACTACTACTACTACTATAATGATGACTATGGGCTTAAGCCGGATCCGACGGTCCACGGAGGTGTTGGTGTTGAGCCGCGTCGCCTCCGTGGCTAAGTCTGTGAAGTAGACCTGGCAGATGGCAGAGACTCCGAAAGCTCGCAAAAACGCCCATGGGGGGTAGTGGGGGGGGTGGGGGGCTGGGGAGGGTGGCCTTCCGTACCTTATTTGGGGGTCCTTGTAATCGGGATCCTCATCTTATTTAGGACACTATATAAGGTTTCCCTATTTTCGGAAACCCCTGAGTCGGAGCCAACAGGACCTTACTGCCAGTCCTGGGCATCTATAGTTTCAGGAATACAGAGCACGATCGCGCTTGACCCAGGTCAAGTATGAAAAAGATGCCCCTTCTTGGCACCCTCCAAGACGAGACGGAAGGACCGCCACACAGTACATGAGGAGGAGCAGCAGCACACCTGGAGGGCATGGGACCGAAGAAGCCCAAGCAGATGTCCACGATGGCAGACTACTGAGTGATTGTGATAGAAAGATCTGGATGTATTTGTACAGCTCGGGAATACGGCTTCAGAACAATGGGCAGCTGGGATGCGATTAACGATTGAAAACTCTTTAGTCGTCCCAAAGACATCAACGACTCGTCCCGGCCTGTCCAGAAGAACGAGTTCATGGAAGCTGACACCCTTGGATTCGAGAGTTTAGGCTTGCGGGTTTGCGCTTGGTGTGAGTTCTCATAGGCCAGGGTGAAATCTGGAGGGATCCCAGCCACGATCTGATTTCATTGGAGAAGAATATTCATGATAATATGATAAGTTAATATAGGGCCGTAATAATTAGAGTCGGGTTTTGGGGCCCATTCTACTATAATTACAATAAGGAACACCCAAAACAGTACAGGTAATTACCTAGGCCCCTACAGTATCCTTAGAAAAACAAACACGCACGCAAGCCTCCGTTCACCCGTGTCGGAAGGCAGGCTCCGGACGAGCTTGTTGCTTCTACTGGCGCCACGTCAGGCCTTCTCCCAGGTTCGGCTCATCCCTTTGGCACAAAGGGTCGGGAGCTGTATGGTGTTGGGCTTCAGGGTCGTTCAGGATTCGAGCCCAGACTTAGACTCTAACGCCAAAATCCTCGCAAGGCGGGTCGACGAGAGACTCTTTCGAACCCAGCCTTAAGCAGTTCAGGGGTGGCTACTTTAGGTGGAAGTCTATTTAGGTGGAAGTGCACGAAAAAGTAATATAGGGACCGTAAACTATTAGAATAAGGTCGGGAGAGCATGTTCACGTAGGGACTGCAATGGAATATGTACTGCGAGTAGTCACGCAAACCTGCACAGCTACCCTTTAGGAAGCCTTAAATTAACGAGAACCCTATACTGCTTGAGCAGTATGAGCCTGGCCCTTGCCTTGATAGAAGCAGTATCGCATGCTGCAACCCTCAAAACATCTTTACACCCCCTTCAAGGAACCCTGTTCTAAGCCTTCAGGGCCCCTATAGCTATAGTAAGAAGCCCAAAACCCCAAACCTAAACCCAAATCCCAAAACCCTTTGGGTCCTTTTTAATAAGAAGCCCAGGCGCAGATAAACCATTGACTTCAGAGCTGGCACCACCCGGACCAGTCGAATCAGGCGCCTCAGTTTGCGGGGGCCACCAAGCTCGGCACTTTCAGGATGTTAAAGGAGGTTGAGTTTAGGGCTTAGGGTTCTTCGAAAGATGAAAATCGAAAATCTCGAACGCATCAATCATCAGCCTCGAACCCTGCGAGCGGGAACTTGCGACTCGGAGCCAGATGCTTGAAGCAAGAGATTCTGCAATTCTGGCACTCCAAATGTCACGCTGTGCACGCGGGTGATCTCGGAAGGAATGTCGTGTAGGTGCCACTACATTGTGCTGGGGCCTCAACCCGCGACGCAGGTACTCTTCCCAATGTCCCGGCGAAATTGCCCAGCACAGCACCTCTCTCCTCTGACACCCGATCATGCCTGCCATGTCATCGCATGTATATAGTGATACATGCTGCAACCCCAAACGAAGGAATTCTACGTACGCCGATGTCGTCGGCTACATACTGCAAGAATACCGGCTTTGGTATGCCAGTGGTGCTATGTCTACTATGTATGTCTACCGATTGCCCAAGCACACAAAACGGAAAAATGCATGTGGGCATCATTCAAGATTGTCAAGAACTTGCTTTTAAGAAATTGATAGCTCACGGATCAATTACAAACCTTTTACACTGAACTAGACAAAGGATCATGGTTCCAAGCCGAGGGACATGACACGCCCAAGCCGAAGCATCCGCAGCCTGGGCAAGTGCAATTCCAGGGTGGCACGGCTTCTAAGCCAAGTTCCACATGTGGGTAGTTGTCAAAATTAGGATCCCTTTTTGGGTACCTTAAATAGTAGGTGCCGCATTATATTAGGGACCCAAAAAGGGACCATAATTTGGACAACCACCCATGTGTGAAGGCAGCTTCAGCAATCAAACTACGCCTGAGGTGCTTGGAAGTGCCCAGAACGAGGATGCCAATTCAATCACAGAACTCAAACCCACTGGCAGGAATATTCCAAGTTTCAAGACCACCCCCCACCGGCGGACTGTTGGTCAAGCCGTAGGAATGCCCTCTCAGGCCCTGAAAGCGGAAAGCTTGAACCCTGAACCCTAAACCTGAACCCTCAATGGCCCTAAACCCAAGCCGATGGGTGTTAGAGGTTCCAGTGCCGCTTCGGGGGCACGCCAGCGAAGCCCAGAAGGGTCTGCACGTCGGAGCCAGAGAGGAACAGCTGAGAGACCTGGTGGGTCGAGGGTTGAGGATTTAGGGCTGGGGTTTAGGGTCTGCTGGTTTAGGGGTTTGGGGCTTTCGAGGTTTGGGGCTTCGGTTTACGCTTGAAGTCTTTGGGGTTTGCGGGTTTAGGATTTTGGGGCTTTAGGGGTTTGGGGTTTCCGGGTTTAGGGTCAGGGTTTGGGGTACACCCACAATCTTGGGCGGGCTTGAGTTGTAGAATCCCGGGCAACTAGGCAAGAAACATCGAAGTCAGCATGTGTTGGTTGGGGCTTCATATACTCGGTCTGTTCCAGACCCTGGTTTCCAGGATCAGGATTCTGGGCGCCTCTCTAAATGGCACACCCTGTCTGGGCCACGACACCTCGTCAACGACGCTGAAGAATACCTGCAGGAAATGGTGGGTCGGTTTGTTCCGGTGCCGTGGGTTTCCGCAAGCATCCGCTATGATGGGTCTGGATCTTCGTTTATTCTGCAAAGTGCCGGCGTCGAAAAACCAATTGAATATTCTCTTGGGGTTTACATGAACACAATTATCAAAAATGAAACCAACGGTTGCCCTTCTTCAGGACCTCCCGGGAGGGTAGGGTGTGGAGGTGACTCTGCAACGTGGGGCTTCGGAGTTGTCACCTGGTCACCTAGCAAGAGGTTTAGAAGGGGCCCCCACCCTGCAATAGTGGTAGAATAGGAATATAATAGGGCGCTAATACAATCTTTATACTCACTATTACAGGGTGGGGGCAGCTTCTAACAAGAGGTGTACAACAAAATGTCACCGAAGCCTCAAACAAGCTCGTAAGGCGACGAACACCGAGGTGTGGCTGGGAAGGGCCTACGGTTTCAGGTTTCAGCGCGCTCTTTTAGGGCTTAGGGGCTTTAGGGTTTTGTTTATTTAAATGGGCCTATAGGGATTTAGGGTTCAGGGTTAGGTTTTCGATTTCAAGTTGCCTTGCTAGAAGCTCTCTACCTGTTCACAGCGCCCCCTACGACAATTGGCAGTGGGCCTCCCGGAAATGTCTCCTTTGAGTGCCAAGTTGGGCAGTCCAGTCCGCATGAAAGCACCCACCCTCAAATCATCCAAAATCCTTCGTGATTAGCCGAGTCACGATGATGAGATCAAAGAGATTCCACATCCATCCTTCCTGAGATTGCTAGCTGCTAGACACAGTGGGGTGCCAAGAAAACCTCACGTAGAGCCAAGGCCGAACCTGTATTTTCAAGCTGTCACCACTGTCGCGAATACTGCTGCAACCACTACACTACGACTACGAATACTACTGCTGCGGCGTTTTCTGACGACAACATCGACGATCACAGAACAACAATCTGCATGCAGATGCTGGCAACACAGCCAAGAAACCAAATCCGCTGGAACATCAGATCCGCACTGCGAACTGCATTCTCCCCTTGTGGATGCCGATCGATGTCACCAAAACTTGTTGCTACAGCCTCAAACTGAGAATTTTGCATTCTCGCAGTGTGGATGCTGATCGATGTCGCCGGGACGACGACAACATCAACGACAACAGAACAACAAACCCCACGTAGATGACGGGCAAAACGGCGAAGAAAAACAACTCTGCTAGAACATCAGACCGATCGATGTCACCAAAATATGCTGTTACAACATCAGACATGTGCTGAGAACTATTAGTACGATGTCGATGTTATAAGTTCGTGTGTTGTACGTGCACACAAACAATGCCCGCAAAATTGTGAACTCACGCATATAAACAGACAATAGGCTCACGTGGCTTGACACTGCACGGCGCGAGATCATTCGGGGCAATGGCTTCGCTGCTGCGGTTCCCAGAATACTTGGAGGTTCATGGGTAGTTTGAAGTAGGGTTACAAGTCCCCTAATGTGGGTTATAAGTATAGTTACCCTAATTATGACCCTACTTATAACTACCCATGAACCTCCAAGTACAGTTCCCTAAACCGTTCACCACAGGCCTGAACTCTTCCTGAGAAGCGTCGCCAAAAAGGAAGTTCCAGTGGTAGGCGACTATCCGGATGGCGAGCTCCGCGACAAATATCATGGTGAAGGCAATGTTCTCAGATCCAGGGTGCAAGCCCCATGGGTGCAAAAGGGCGTTGCAAGTTTAAAGCTTTGGGTGCTTTTGCTGCTTTACATAGAACCAGGTGCACCATCGAATACCTTCTCGACACCTGAAACGCACACCCCGACCAGATTTTGTTCCGGCCATCCAAGATTGGCCTGCGGCAGCCAAGGCGCGAATGCCGTGAAGACAACCTCAGACATGTTGACAATAGGCAGAGTCAGGTATTGGGGCCAAGCCCGCGATGATAAGCTCCCCCAGTGTCTACTGCTCCTGGAACATCTTTATCTCATGTTACACCGGTGGATGCCACAATCTGTAGCATTGAAGGTTTTTATGTTTGCAAGCCCTTGCTCGATCTTTTCCAATTCATGGCATTTCTCTCTGTCAATGCAACTGGCATTTGTGAGACTAGGTTGCATGCTTGCTTTACTGCTTGTGCACGAGTGCAAGCAGCGAGCGTGTTGCCGTAGGTCAATACATCAGGAGACATGCTGACAGCAGACATGTTTGACATATCCGTAAAAAGCTGCACGGCAGCTTGCCAGTGCCCTCCGATCCTACAGGCACTGATGGTGCTGTTGTAGGTGATCTCGTTGGGCAACACCTGGCCTTCAGGCATCGTAGCTAAGAGATCAACTGCAACCTGCCAACACTGTGCCTTCTCCGCCGCACTGATCACGCTGTTGTAGGATATCACGGTCGGCGACAGGTCGGCCCGCATCTGACTGAGGAGCTGCAGGGCTGTGTGCCACTCACCTGACATTTCACAGGCGCTGATCACCCCGTTGTAACTGACTTGATCTGGGCATCCACAGGACGAGAGCTCCTGCAGAAGTCCCAAAGCAATCTGCCAACGGCCACGCCGTGCACAGGCACTGATGGCGCTGTTGTAGCTGATGGTATTCGGCGGCTGCTTGTTCCTGGGCATCTCCGCCAAAAGCTGGATCGCAGCTTCCCAACGCCCAGCCTTGTCGCAGGTACTGATGAGACTGTTGTACGTCACCACATTAGGACTGACCGTCTGGCATTTCATCTCTTGCAGCAGTAGGATGGCCAGTTCCCAGTGCGCCGCTTTCTCACAGGAGCTTACAGCACTGCTGAAGCTGATTACATCTCGGGCTTCTGCCGGCATCTGGTGCAGCAAACAGAGGGCCATCTCCCAGCAATGGCCTCTGGCACAAGCACTGATGGCACTATTAAAGCTGATCGAGTTGGGCATCACTCGACATGCTAGCATGCCTGCCAGGATCGTAATGGCTACTTGCCACCTTCCGTTGCTTTCGCATGCCGAGATGACACTCGAGCATGAGATCACATCTGGTGATGTACGAAGAGCAGGCATCCGACTAAGCAGGTACACGGCGAGCTCCCACTCGCTAGCTTTGGCACCGGCGCTTAGAGCCCCATTGCAGCTGACAAGGTCGGGTTGCACACAGACACCAGACATGCTGGAGAAGAGGTACAGGGCGACCTGCCACTGCCCAGCCTTCTCACATGCGCTGATGGCACTGTTGAAGGTGATAGTGTCTGGCTGCAGACTGTTGCCTGCTGCCTGGGTAAGCAACTGGACGGCGATCTGCCAACGCCCTGCTTTTTCACTCGCACTGATGGTGCTGTTGTATGTCACCAGATTCGGCTGGTCGGCGCTCATAATACCGGAAAGCAGAGACAAAGCCCTGTCCCACTGCTTTCCCTTCTCGTTCGCACTGATCGCAGCGTTGTGCGTGACTACATCAGGCCTGGAGCTTCCAGCGATCTGCCCAAAAAGCACCAATGCAACTTGCCAGCGCCGGCCCTTGCCGCAGGTGCTGATGGTACTGCTGAAGGTGAAAAGGCTGGGAGAAACCGTTGCCAGCTGCATGTCCCCAAATATCTCCAAGGCAACCGGCCAGCAATGACACTTTTCACAGGCATTTACTGCGCTTGTATAGCTGAAGACATTTGGGCTGATCCTCTTCACTCTCATCACGGACAACAAATCATTTGCAGAGTCCCAGCTGTTGGCCCTGGCAGAAGTCGTAATTGCCCGTGTGAGCGATTTTGCATCCTGTTGTCCGTCCGTCCTGGTATGCAGTGCTGCAAGGATCGGCATCTCAGCCATAACGAAAGCCTCGACCCATGCTTGCTCGCCACTGTATTCCCAGCGAATCCTCCTTCTGAGCTATCTTAGGACTGCTTCCTGCGGTAATGCACGCCGCAAGCAATTGCATTGCTGTGCTGAGGGCTTGCACTCGCCGTGAGGGACTCTGGAGGATCAATTGTTGGCCGTCTGTCTGTCACTATGCTCATGTTAGCTACTGCCCGCATTCTCTACGCAGCCTGGAGGATGGGTTCACTCAACATGATGCGGCAACCTCGCTTAGAGGAAATGGAGCTTGGGGTATGGGAAAACCGAAGGGGGGGGATCCTCGTGCAAGGGTCCTACTCCCATATCAGGTTCTGGGATTCTACGTGCAACCCAGCTGCCGGAGGCTGCAGCAGGGACTGCCTGCAGCTTCATCGGTGGTTCTGAGGATTCGGGGTTCTGAGGATTAGGGTTTCGGTTGCCTTTGACGCTTTGGGGTTTCACTGTTTTCTGCCCGGCTTCACGGTTCTCTTGACTCCCGGTCTCCAGACACTCCACACCACGAAAGAGATGCATGTGTACAAATGTCGTGTAAGGAAACATTGAGTGGACAATGTAATTGTGTATCTAAGTTTTACGATCAAAACAAGAGGCGGGTGCCATCATAACCAGTCTTGCAAGTTATCTTGCCGGGAAAAAGAATCTCGCCCCCCACCACTTGGGGATGGCCCCGGATGACATATATTTAACATAGTACAACATACCCCAAAGCACAATGCTGCTGGCGGACACTCCATAACATTGCACGTTACTCTGAAAGCATGCACCTGAAACCCAAAACACTGAGACCACCCCGGCAGCCCCAAAGCACCTTGCCATGATGTCTGCTTCGATGCCAAAGGTCAGCGCATTCCTGGGTTAGAGTAATTAGTTCAAGCTGGTGTACCTTCAGATCCTCATGTGCTTTTTCCAAAGGTTGATCATGGGACGGGTGAAGGCTGTGCCAGTAGTAGCGGAACAAATCCAACATGCACGTGCCAGGCTGGTTGATAACGAATGATACGCATATAATGCATGTGGTGATGTAGTCGGCAATCCGAAGACACTGCTCATCACTGAATTCGATTGGAAGCTTCAATTGCTGGGTCCAGTTGTCTGGCCTTGCACTTCCGGACATACCTTTTTCAGGTCCCAGAATTGCAGCCTGAGGTGCCCAAGCAGAAATGCAATCAAGACCTCAGCTTGTGGGCTTTTCGTGCTGTCGATGGTGGCATTGGCACTGTTCATGACAACGAGCACCGAGCTTATCATCATGGATCGTAAAGACCAAGCTCCCCGCATAGTCAAAATAGGGGTTCTCCACAATCCTCAGTGCCTTAGAAACGTCGGCACGGCTTTGGAATGGATTGCTTCATCTTGCCGTCAACTTGGAGGGTTTCCACTCTGTCCGAGCCCGAGCCTTGTGGACGCTCCAGGCTCACGCAATTGCAAAGCTGCAAAGCTCTAGAGACCCTGAAAGTACACCTCTGCGAAGTAGAGCATATGTCCTTGAATACATGCTTGCACACCGACTCTGTGCAGCTTCTAAAGCCGTTCACGATATGGCAGGAGCATCGGCACTACGCAGCGATAGAAGAACGAGTGTGACGAGCACACGTCAGATTCATCCGCAGCGTCTGCACCATCTGCATCAACATCTTCTTCTTCTACTTCGTCTTTATCTGCATCTTCATCACCATCATTATGATCATCAGCATCTTTGTCTTCATCGCCATCATCGTCGTCTTCCTCGTGGCCAGCATTGGAACTTCTGATATCCTCCCTGTCTTCTTCATCCCCATCACAGCCAGCATCCTTACTAAAGAAGGTCAAGGCGGAGGAGCTACGGCTCATTGTGGGACCGGCAGCACGTTTAGGAATTAAACGTGCGCAGCCCAAGCACCCAGTGTGGCTTCTCGGCCATGTGTTGTGACGATCTTGCCTGCCGCAGCACACACACACACACTCAGATGGACATGATACGCACATACCAATCGATGCATGGTATGCGATGATGACATGCTGTGCTGACCCCGAGCGCAGCAAATCGTCGTCGGTTTTGAAAAACGAGATGCGAGAGGAAAGCTCCAGCTTTAACGAATCTACAAACCAACTTGCTTGCTGAAGATAGGTTTAAAAAAACATAGGTTTTTGTAGGTTTTTTACAAAACCTATGCACATCAAGCTCTCAAGCCGCCAAAAAGATACTGAAGCGGTCATGGTTTTACCTCACCCAGGCCGACCCCTGAAACCTCCGCACCCTTGGCGTGGCAACAAAAAGTGAAGCCTTCCAGTATTGAACAAGTTCACAGTATGATCATGTTACAGGACTATACTAGACTTTATTACGATGGCACTGTACATGTTAAGGACTGTACTAGACTATACTATTAAATTATGGCACTGTAACTTGAAGCATCTTGAAACACAATGGGAGTTGCCGAACATAGGGGACCCTAATATAGTGCCCTAGACAAGGACCCCAAAATATGGTAACACTTATTTTCGGAAACTCCAAGCCCCCAAACCTAAACACTGTATAGAACCCTTATAGATCCCTTTAAGGAGCCCTTCAAGGATCCCTTTAAAGGCACCCCCAAATTTTCCAAAAACTGAGATGTCCCTTCCTGAGACTCCAATATCCCTTAATTAAGGAATATACCTTAAAATATACTAGGATCCCTTACATGAATTAAGGTAAATTCCCTAATTAAGGGATATTTTAGTCCCCTAAACCCCAAACCCTATAGAACCCTTCAAAGGAACCTTCCTTAATTCAAGGAGTCTCTGGGCTGGGCCGGGCCAGGCCTTGCTGAGGACCTCGGCTCCAGCATCGAAGCTGGCGGCCTTGACGCTCTTCTTCTTGCCCTTGGAAGGGGTTTAGGGTTTAAGGGTTCAGGGTTTAGGGTTTAGGGTTCAGGGTTTAAGGTTCTTCTTGCCCTTGGAGGGTTTAGGGTTTATAGAATTCCCTACTAACCACCAAAGGTAAGCTTCTTGCCCTTGGAGGGGTTTAGGAGTTTAGGGTTTAAGGGTTCAGGGTTTAGGGTTTATAGAAATTGTTAAGGGTTTGGGTGCCAATAAGGCTCTTCTTCTTGCCCTTGGTGAGTAGGGAATGGAGGAATGGGGTACAATTATAACTACTATTACTACCATTCTTCCATTCCCTACTAACCAAAGGTAAGCTTCTTGCCCTTGGAGGGGTTTAGGGTTTAAGGGTTCAGGGTTTAGGGTTCAGGGTCTAGGGCTTAGGGTAACTAGAGTTGCCCTTGGAGGGATCGTAGGTAGGGTTTCCTGTCAGGTTTCCATAAGGTTTAGGGATTCGGGTTTAGGGTAGTTATAAGTGGGGTTATAAGTAGGGCAATTATAATTAGAACCCATATTAGGGGACTTATATAAACCTTCTATCACTATAACTTAACTACCCATGAAGCTCGGCTTGGAGGGTTTCGGGTTTAGAGCTTAGGGCTTAAGGATTGGGGATTTAGGGCTTCCGGATGGAACAATGCTGATGAAGCAAGTAGTCTGGGGCTCGGCTTATTTTGATGATGCTGACGACGATGATCAGCACCCCCTCGTCACCGAATACTCAAATTATGTAGTGTTTAGCCAGTCAGCTGTCCCTGCCAAACCGCAACTCCTCACAAACTCACGAGGATTCAGCGCTGCTGCCAGGCCAAGGTGAGGGGATCAGCTCCCTCAGCTACTGCGATGTGGTACTGTTTTCACACACACGCGCACGTGCGCTGTCATGAGCCGCACTTTGGGCTGAGTACATCCCGCCGGCAATTCCAGCAGGAGACGTAAGAGTCTGAGTGGCCAAACCCCTTCTGCCTAACAGTAGTATCATGAAATCTTGTTGTTGCTGGTGCTGGAGCGGTCGCTGTACAAGTAGCAGTAGCAGTAGTGGTCGTGGTCGTGGTAGTCGTGGCAGTGGCAGTGGCACTCGTCGTGGTCGTGGCTGTGGTAGTGGTAGTGGTAGTGGTGGTAGTAGTAGTAGTAGTAGTAATAGTAGTAGAAGTCCCCGTCGTCGTCGTCGTATTGGAGTAGTAGTAGCAGCAGCAGTAGTACTAGTCGTGGTAGTAGTGGTGGTGGTGGTGGTGGTGGTGGTGGTAGCAGTAGCCGTAGTCGTAACCGCAGTAGTCGTAGTCGTAGTCGTAGTCGTAGTCGTAGTCGTGGTCGTGGTCGTAGTCGTAGTCGTAGTCGTAGTCGTAGTCGTAGTCGTAGTAGTAGTAGTAGTAGTAGTAGTAGTAGTAGTAGTAGTAGTAGTAGTAGTAGGAGTAGTAGTAGTAGTAGTAGTAGTAGTAGCAGCAGCAGTAGCAGTAGTAGCAGTAGTAGTAGTAGTAGCAGTAGCAGTAGCAGTAGTAGCAGTAGCAGTAGTAGTAGTAGTAGTAGTAGTAGTAGTAGTAGTAGTAGTAGTAGTAGTAGTATAGTAGTAGTAGTAGTAGTAGTAGTAGTAGTAGTAGTAGTAGTAGTAGTAGTAGTAGTAGTAGTAGTAGTAGTAGTAGTAGGAGTAGGAGTAGGAGTAGGAGTAGGTGTAGAAGTAGGAGTAGTAGTAGTAGTAGTAGTAGTAGTAGTAGTAGTAGTAGTAGCAGCAGCACTGGTACTAGTGCTAGTACTAGCCCTAGTGCTAGGTAGTGTACTCGTAGCAGCAGCACCGAGCTTCAGTAGCAGCAGCAGTCGCCCTTGCTTAGTGGTTGCGTTTTCGTCGTCGTGACCGCAACCGTAGTAATCAAAACATCGTGGCAGTAGCAATCATAATCACGCTAATTATGCAAAAGGGCGTTGACAGTCGGGTCAGAACAATTTTGCCACAGCTCCAAAACTGGAAAGACATAAGACAGCAGCAGCTGGTGCAGGAATGGTAACCATCCCCATCACCAGCACTGCTGTGAAGTTGATCGGCTGGCACATGCTCTGAAACCGCACAACCGGAGATTATGCTCTGAAACCGTAAACGCAGGCCACCGTAGGATGCCGAAACACATGCTGGAGATTCTTGCATTGAACATCCGAGCCTACGCTCACACTTCTGAGCTCAAGCTCATCCAAGAAAGAATCACAAACACGTGTGTCGTGAATGCTACCTGGGTTACACCTTTGCCCTGACACAAAAACCGCATCTGCTAGGCCGGGTGCTTTCGCTGCATTTGCCAGCTCGAAACAAGTTTTAAAATTGCCTACACGTGAACTCCGGAACCCAGAGGCCTAAAACCATCGCCCGCAACTGAGCAAACTTTTCGACGCGAAATAATTCTGTCAGGGTCTCCTTTTTCATATCCTGGCTACATCTCGCCTCCCCTCAGTCAAGCTACGCCTCGTGAACCTCATCCGGAGCCCTGAACCACCTTGCCCTCCGCATTTAAACGAGGTGTAATGTAGGGGCCTTAATAATTAGAATAGGGTTTTGGGGTATATTATATTCTACTATAGTTTATCATAAGGAACCCCAAAATAGTATAGGTAATTATTAAGGCCCCTTTCGTAATCCGAACCAGGCACTGATCTGGGCGCACTTTTACCACAAGTCCGCGCACTTTGCCTTGATATTATCAATCAATTCCCGGAAGGTGCTCAAGACTAGCTATTTACACTGCCTCAGTGCAATGAAATGAACCTTGTAATTATACTAACAACCTGCCTTCCGTGCCTTTCCTGGGCAACTACTACTACGACGACGATGACGACGACTACTGCTGCGACTACGACTACTACGGTTCTTTGTTCTCCGAAATCTCGGAGGCCACGGCGGGTGCAGGCATCTCCCGCCTTCGCCCTCCATTCGGAGGGAGAGGGAGGGACCTTCTCACTCATCATCCTGAGGTTTAGAATGTTGGGGGCGTTGAAGGGGTTTAGAGGGTTTAGGGGATTTGGGGGGTTGCGAGTTTAGGGTTTCGGGTTGGGGCTTTGAGCTGGCACTTGGGAGTGGACGGCAACTCTGGCTTTAGGTCATGGCCGTGCAAGAAAGAATGTTAAAGGCTCACGCTTTTCCTCTGCGTTGATGCAGGTCTGGGAAGTCATTCGTCCGTCATTATTCGTATCACCTTGCGGCTGACGCTTGAAAGCCTTGGGGCCGCGGCCTGGGGAAGCCTGAATCACTGCATCCCACGAGAAAGACCACAAAGCCTAATATTGGGGGCTTGATGACTAGACTCACAAGACCATGGTCTTTGGGTACATTATGCTATAGCCATAATGGGGGCTATAGGGAGACGTTTACTATTATTACAACTTTTCCGACCCTCTGGGACCTTTCGCAAGCTCCTAACCAGTAATATCCAGATCCCTCCTCGGCTGAAACACTTGTAAATGCGTCGCATGACTGCTGGGAAAAAACAACCTGTCGAGAACGTGCAGCACGAGTGTTCCTAGTGAGCAATCTGTAGGCCGTGTAGGCAGAAAGACAATAAGCACTGTTCATAACAAAAGAGAATGATGGCGGAGAGATGAAGTTCGATAACCAATCAAACACTAGCAAAGACATCAACAAATTGTCGGTGCTGATACTCGTACTGACAATAATCGCACGTCAAGGCCTTATTGAATCACATGAACCCAAAGGATGCTGATGATGATGATGGTGAGAATGACGATGATTATAAGGAGGAAGAGGGCGGAGGTGGGGGTGCTGGCGGTGAATAGCAGCAGTCCAATAACGTTGGCAACACGACGACTTCTTCAAGTCACTGCTGTCCAGCCTTCAGGGGCTCGACACAGTCCGTGCAGAACCTGTTGGTAAGGACCTGTCGTTGCTTTTCAGGGCGGCTAGCTTGTTTCACTTGCCCGGTCCCTCTCGTCGTTTAGAGCTCATCATCCCAAACTTCACAAGCCCCAAGCCAGAACAGCTTTAAACTTTAAACGTTATCAACCTAAGGACCCAGAACCAGTTGAACCCTGTTCTCAACAGCCAAGAATGGGCGACGGGGTTGTCGGGCGGGTTGAATTACAGGGTGCAGGGGAGCGTTGCACGGATTATTTAGGTTCTGGTGCTCGAAGGGTGCATCGGGGTTTAGGGTCTATGTCGCACGACAGAGCCGTAGAGGGCAAGTCAGTGTGCAACCCTTGTCAGCCCAAGCAAATGCCCCTCTCTGTCGGCATTGGATACCGAGGTCGCTCGGGTTTAGGGTTTGGGGCCTCGGAGTCTGTTAAACAGCTCCCCAAGCAGGGCTGGTACGTACCTGTACCATCTCAGATCACGACCATTAAAAACCCTTGCAAGCCCAAGCCCTCGAACCCTGACCTGAAACCCGTGTAGCACCACCCCTTATTCTCCTAAACTCCGAAATATCTGCCTTCAGGGAATGCGCCACAGACATGCACTTGTGCTCGCAGTTGGCGAGATAGCCTCGGCCCGCGGAAGAAACCGGTGAAACGGGCGTTCACTGTAACTTAAATCTCTATGGACGGATGCGTCGACCTGGGTTTAGGGTTTGCTGGTTTAGGATCCCTAATACCATGCGAAACCGTCAAAAGCCCTGCAAGAAGCCCGATGCAAACCTCCAAAACCTCATGTCGGGTTTAGGCCCAAAGTTTAGGCTTTAGGGTTGCGTTGCGGCTCCCGGACCAGGTAATGTTTCGGGCCCAGAAAGAGACCTGGGAGCTCGGGAAGACCGAAGAGCTCGCAAAACGAGTAAATTTTACGGGTTCTTGTTAAGAAGCTGCTTTGATTCAAGTTACCAGAAGAGGTACCTATAGGAAATGATATGGTTTCCGTATTATGGTAACTTAAATTACACCCCTTAACAAGAATCCAGTGTAGGGTCTAGATTAGAAGGGGCCCCCACCCTGTAATCGTGGTATAATAGGGATGGAATAAGGCCCTAATATAATCCTTATAGTCACTATAGTCACTATTACAGCGTGGGGGCACC